TTTAGGTAAAGTTAATGTGTTTTTAATTTAATATACTTATCTACTTTTTAATAGAATTAAAAGGTAGTTATTAAAGGTTTGTCTACAGATGTGTCAGATTATTATTGTTGTTGTTGTTGTTGTTTACTTCAACTTTGTTCAGTTTTTCAGTGTAAACATTTTTTTATTTTCAAGAATAATAAACATTTGTTGTCTGCACACTCAATAACTACAATATAATCAAAAGGAAAATGCCTGAGCAGAAAACCTGAAAGCAAACAGACAATCGAGTCAGTAATTAAACCGACAGTCAGTGTTGAAAGGAAAACAAAAGGAAATCCGTGGATCGGGTAAATGACTTTAATCCCTGTTTGCTGTAGGTGCATCGAAGACTACAAACGCGGTCCAGACGGGAGGTCGTGCCTGCCGCTGTCTGAGGCTTGCACTGAGGGAATAGACTGTGGAGAAGTGCTTGATATCCCCGCCAACCAGACGGTGTTTGGAGACCTTTTCTACGGATACAACAACCACACCAAAGAGAGCACCTCTGGACAGATCCTCAAGGCCACATTCAGGTAAGCACATGAGACTTTGTTCTGCCATTTGTACCTCAGCTGGGAAACACTTGGCTCAGGACTTTCAGCTCCCACAGTGCCGATATCACAGTGAATGTTTATCTTCATTTAAAGAGAGAGAGAGAGACTTTTAGCTTGTTCTCAGCACAACCACCTTTTTTAAAACTTTATTCATTTTAGGACTAAAATTCTAAGGAGCATGTATGTATGCATATTTGGTAAAAGTCTTCTGAGTACAGGTATGACTGGACTATATGTTTGACACACAAAGCAGATTCATAGATTCATCCTAGTCAATGAGCCTTTGACGGGAGTAGAAGTACAACAGAGAGCTGAAAGAAAGACTAAGAACAGCACTAAGGTCCCCAGTTAAAATGATGGCACCCTTAACAGAAATCCCATCCAAGGCTGAACATAGATTATATATATCAACTGCTTGTTAAACACTGCTGCTTGCTGTCTTCACTCAAGCTCAAAACCTATTTGTTTTCCCTCGTACGAGACTGAAGAACAGGGGAGACAAAGCCTGTCGTTCTCCAAGGCTCAGGACCAGTTCACCACTCCAGCTCCATTTAGCCGACTCAAATGTTTCTGTTTAATCTTCTATTGATGTTCCTTTTGTTTTTTATTTAGTTTTAGTTTTACTTTGTGACTTTTCTGTGAAAAATGAGTGTCTGTGAATAAACGTTACTTATTCAACGGGACCTTCACCAGGCTGGGCAAAGGATTCAGAGAAAACTGGATAATTATGTGGTCGCGACTGCTTTAGGGACAAACACTTGGTAACTACTTTACACACTCAACCTCTTAAGCACCAACGCCCCCAGATGTGGGGCAAAAGGGAGGAGATCGCATTTAGGGTTAGGTGTGCGTGCTTAAGATGTTAACTTCCCACTTTATGAGTGCTGAAAATAAGGTAACTACCACTGCTGCTGGTAGTTACCTGCTTACTAGGTCAGACTGATGCTCTTTTAAATTATATAAATCTACAAAACACTGCAATAAATAAAGATTACTGCTTTAGCTTTTTTTTTCTCTCCAAATGTCTATAGCTACTGCAGTGATATCAGTTTTATAAATAACCATAAAGCACTGATGTTTTTCAGTTTTGCTTTTTAATTGGTTTCACAGTGGACAAGCTCAGGCCCCGCCCCTCACACCTCAAAGGCTTTACTTCCTTATAGAGCTGAATGCAAAGATTTACGTTTGCAGTACAGAGTTTAGTCTGAATGCCCACCAAAGTATGTTCC